TCCCCCCCCACCAACTTTTTTCCAATACAGAAATCATGGTACAATAAGTTAAGAGGCCAGCATTAGCTTTCAAATTACCATGGGCCTCTAAACTAATGTCAGCCTTCAGGCAAATAATTTAAAACAAAACCTGTGAGTCATAGTTTGTGGCTGTGAGTTTACCACCATTGTCTGGGCAATCTGGATAATGGTGGGAAATTTGAGGAAGAACGGTAAAATGTTTCTCATCTGGCAAAACTTATTGTCGTTATACAATGGCCTGTTTCTCATAGGTAAAAAATACAGTGCTCACCTCTTGAAATAGTATTAATTTCTTCACATTTGCATAGAAAGTGAACTGTAGCAGTGATTCATTAAACTATATTCTATTGTCATATTAAATTAAGTGTGCATTTGTCGGCTCATGGCCAGCAGTTTTTAAATGTGTATACAAACATAGTGAATATTAAATAAGAATAATCACGTGATGTTTCATTCTTGGAGGTGTTACTTCTGAAAAGTTAGAACTAGTGTGGCATTTTATCCTTGCTCTAAAAAATCCTTGTAACCAGGAGGCTTGAGCTCTTGTTTAATTGGGAAGAGGCAGAAACGAATATATTTAATAAAATAGCAAAGGACTCTGTGATGAGCTGTTTATAACAAAGAGATGTTTCTCCCTTCAGATCTGCCAGGCCTGCAGTGCGCGAAGTACATTCAGGGACTTCGGTGGGGAACTCAGCAGATACTCAATGAACACATCCGGATGACGCACAGAGGGCACCAGGCCAGATTCGCTGAACTGAATAGTGCCCTTTTCCTGCTGAGATTCATCAATGCCAATGTCATTACCGAACTGTTCTTCAGGCCCATCATTGGCACAGTCAGCATGGATGACATGATGCTGGAAATGCTCTGTGGGAAGTTATGAAGGCATGTGGGCCACACAAGTGCAGTTCTCCATGAAGGAAGGATAAAGAGCTGTGGGTAGAAGAGTAAAATAGTATAAAATAAACTTTCTTATTATTTTTACATGCATAGTATTTTTGGATTCAATTAAAGAAATACTTTAGTTACAGACAATTAAAAAGTCCTGTGTTTCATACTGTTTCATCATGAAGGAAAACATTTTCCAACAGGTTACATACCTCCATACATCTTTAGGGAAAGAGCAAGGTACTAAGCTATTTTCACAAGTTTAGTGACTCTTTTCATTGACACTGCTCAAATTAAATTTGCAATATTAAGTTACAATAAATTTTAAGGTGTTAACCATTAACTTGATTGAAAAAAAATCTTCGTCAGGGTTTAAGTAAAGCTTTAAAAATTATTAAAACCTAGCCAACATAAGCAAAAGGTATCTTTGTAAGTAACATCATGACACTTGATATATAACATGCCAGTGTCAGTGGGTGATGACTTTGCTCCATATTCATTTCCACTTCCATTAGCTATATTGGAAGCCTGTCTTTGCACCCACCTGGAGTCAGGAGGCAACCTGTGATCAGAAAGGTAACAGAAAGTGAAATTGATCTTCAGAGTTTTATTTTGGGATTTCTCTGTACGCAGTTATGGATTTGAAATAAAGTTCCACAAAAACTTACATTCTAGGGCCGACCCTGTGGCTCACTCAGGAGAGTGTGGCGCTGGGAGGGCAGCGGCGCTGGGAGCCCTGAGGCCGCGGGTTCAGATCCTATATAGGGATGGCCGGTGCGCTCACTGGCTGAGCGCAGTGTGGGCGACACCAAGCCAAGGGTTATGATACTCTTACCAGTCACAAAAAACAAAAAACAAAAAAACCCAAAATAAAAAAACCTTACATTCTTATAAGGAGGGCTTATAGTTCCAGAAAGCTCAACATCATTATAAACCCCTAATTATACCACACATTTTAGATATGTTATCTTTGTAACTCACATTGAAAAAGCATGGCTTAAAATCATAAAGTGACTTTATTGTTGGCTTCTGCTGCTCCTTTAAATATACTTCATAGAACTAGTTCTTCCTTGTCCTCAGATGAAATTTAGGGTGCTACATGTCCATTCAGTTATACCCACAAATAAATTGCTGGTTAGTATATCTAGTTCAGGGCAGTAACCCATTGCAGAGAGTCTTAAACTTTCTTCTATGCAGACCCCTTTGGCAGTCTAGTGAATCCTATGGACATCTTAGAATCAGGCTATCATAGTCATGTAGCAAATAAAATATTTAGGATTACAAAAGAAATGAATGGTGTCAAAGTACAATATTAAAAATGTTAAATACTTAAAATATTTTTATATGAGGTATAACAATATATATGCTTCTTTATCAACACATTAAATGAGAAACTATCAGGTGGCAGGTCTAATACCTACCTTAATTTCAAAGCAGTGATCAATATAATTGAAATTTCAGGGTATCTGCAACATCTATAATGTGATAAGAAAATACCTGAGATTTCCACTGGTGACTTTGTTGCGAAACCTGAAGACCACCGCCCCGTTCAGAGATTTGCAAGGTCTCATGGAATTCAGCAGATAGAGCGTTCACAGCTGAGATTTATTACAGCAATGTAGTAAGGATAGATGGCTAGATCATAAGGGAAAAAGACACAGGTGGAGTCTGGAAGAATCTATGTGCAGGCCTCCTTATGCTCTCTCCCTCCTGTGAGGTGTCACACAGGGTGCACTCTTCCCCCAGCGATGACAGCTCAGCAACGTGTGTGATATTTCTGCCCAGGGAAACCCTTTGTGATTCAGAGCTGAGGGTTTGTATTGACGGCTGGTCACATAGGCACCCTTTCCCTAGCATGTGCCAAAATTCCAAACACACAGAAAGCAGGAGTTCAGCATGCACTGCATTGTTTGTACAGTTGAGGTGTCGTGAGTCACCCTTATGAGTTAGGGAAAGGTGAGAACATTCCCCAAATCAAAGTTCCCAGATGTCAGCTAATGGTTGACCTTGCAAGCAAACAGGCCGTTCTAAGGATAGGAGTCTCAGACGTGTTATGTTAATTCTTTTCTGTGCAGTCCACCCCCTTGACCATTGGCCAAGGTGTCTTTAGAGAATAATTATCAGTAGGGACCCACACAGAAAAGTATGACCAACCTGAGGTGTTGATCTTCCCATATGGACTTTGCAGTTAAAGCAAATCCCATTAACCACAAGTAGTTCTATCCTAGGCAGCCAGGTGGCTTCCTCCATCAGTTCCTGTATGAATTTTTTTATTTTACCTGGCCCAAGCCATCAACTCAGGCCCAGCTCAGCTCTGGCCAGTAAGTTGAAGCTGACCTGCATGCCTTCCAGGGCTGAGGCAGTGTCATAATAGGGCACACACACACACAGGTGCAATCCCTGAGGGCACACGTGGTCCTCTGGAAACAAAGAGTTGACAATGTCAGGGTACCCCGAGCAGGGCCATGCAGCCCCAGCATGGCCTCCCATGGTGGTGCCTCCACCCCAGGGTGCTCTGTCCAGTGTGGGTCACTCAGTTCAGTCCATGGTTTCTGAGGGGCTGCTTGAGGCTGTCAGTCCTAAACAGTTCTGTCAGTGACACTGGTTTATCTGCCTGGTGATTGCGGATGGCATCTGGAGGTGTTCTGCGGGGACCGTGCGGGAGCTGGCCCTCTCCTCCCGTCTCAAAGTCACACTGTCTCATGCCATCTAGGCTCAGCAGTCGGTTCGAATCCAAAGCGCTGGCAGCTGCTTGCAAAGGCAGCATGTGAGTTTTTCTTCAGTAAGAAGGGAAAGCTTCCAAAAGCAGTTCCAGAAAACAAAAATTGCCGACGCCCTACTCCCTCCCCTGAACTGCCCCAGGTGCCAGGTTTTTACTTACTTTCTTTTTTTCCTCAGTTGTTACAAAATTAGTGCGTCCCATTCAGTAATTCTAATTTTACGATTTCTCCTAACCAGTTCTTTTTTCACCCAGACCTTTCATCTGGAAGGATTGTGTACAAGAGGAGCAAAAGCATTTTCACAGAATAACATTTTAATACAAGTTAACCAAAAAGACACATCATGTTCAGGACCTGGTCAGGGAGAAATCCTAATTTTTCAGTATTTTTTCAAAATGGATTTACATACCCCCTCCCCATGCCTTTTGTCCTGATCATTCATGTAGTGAGCAACCTAGAAAAGATCAATTTCTTTCTGGGGATAGTTGTACTGAATGATCAAACTGGTTTACTAAGGTGCGTGTAGCAGGAGAAAGGTTGAAGGAAATCGAGTCAAGCTATCAGACCACTGCTGCAAACTGTAACTAATCTGGAAAGTGGAATGCAAGTCAACAGCTGTGAGACATCCCAGAGTCTGATCTGATAGGGGTGGGCAGAGGGGTCACACTTCCTGTGGTGTGCCCTGCCCCAAATTGCAGCTTTCAGCAGGAATCACAAGTTAGAAATGCAATTAGACTCTTGTATCGGAAATATGGGGTTGATCAGTAGCTCCACTTTATTTTTTAATTAATTTAAAGACAAAAATATTTTAAGGAATAAATGGAACTTGCATGAAATATATTAAAAACTCTTCTGAGAAAAATAAAAGAAGACAAATAATCAAGAGACACACATTGCTCCTTGACTGGAGTACTAAAAACTTTGAAGATATAAATTATTCCAAATTAGTTAATTTATGGTTTTATTATTAATTAATTAATTAAAAAAAGAAAACATAGTTTTAATTAATATTATTTTTTACATTCTAGGATGTTGTTGCAGAGCAGTTGGGAGGGAGGGGGAGACGGGAAAGGGGAAGGAAATGGGATGGAAGAAGGGGGAAGGAAGAGGGGCCGAGATTAAGGTCTGTGCCCCTCCCATTCCCACAGAGGGGACTTAGCGCCTTCTAGTGGTGGCTTGGTCATTGCCAGGCTGGGTGCAAATGTGGGGGTGTGTGTGTTTGGCAAAAACCCTCTCCCTGCACCATCCCAGCTCGGGAACCTGGGGCCCTTCTTGCTGCAGCTTGGTGGTCGTAGCTGGGCTGGTTGCACTTGTCTGGGGCATGGCCAAGGCCCTCGGCCCTCCACCGCCCCTGCTTGGGAAAGCCCCAGGCACTTCCTGCGTGGTGGCTTGGTGATAGTTGCTGGGCTGAGTAGCTCCACTTTAAATGGTCCCATTAGAGAACAAGCCCATTCCCTAGGGTATCAGCAAGAGACCCATATCTTCCAGCCAGCATCCATAATGTTTGATAACTTATGATCCCACAGAGGGGTGTCTTAAATTTGCAACAGTCCCAGAGACTGAGTTCTGTTCATTGAGCCTGCATTCCATTCAGCGTAGCTCAGTGCTGAAACTGAAACAGCCCACAGCAGACAGCATCAGGTTACAGCTTAGAGTAAAGTCCAGGAAATTAGGATCTGTGAATTCAGTATTCCGAGAAAGCCAGAGGCTTTTCTTCAGCAGCGGTGAAGCTGAGATGCTGTAGGGCCAGACACCTGTGTTCCAAGTTTAAGTAACAAGCAAGGGTTTCCTAAGCACTTTTTACCCTGTCCATCCAGATTATCCAAATTGACCTATGTAAAAATGTTCACATAAGGCCAGAAAATCATCAGCCCCTAAGGATCAGAAATCTGATTTCATAAGAGCTCATTAACAAAAACCAACAAAAAACTCCACAAAAAACCCCAAAGCCAAACCAAAAACCCCTCGCTTTTTAAAACCACGAAAGTGTATTTTCATCTGGAGATTGCCTCTCTTTTTCCAGAGACTCCAACAGCCAAAATTATAGCCCCCCCCCAAAAAAGAAAAAAAAATCATCTGTTAGAGTCTTGTTTTCAATACCAAGAGCTTAAATTCCAATTTGCCCACCTGTAGCAAGGGAACTGTCCCATTCACACATTTTTGTTTCTTTGCAGCTTTCCCTGATTCAGATAACTCCTCTAGCCTTTATGAAATTATAAGCATATAACATTTTACATCAATTTTTATCATATATCCAGATGCAATAGCCACAAATGCAAAGCTGTATTTTAAAAATCCTTTTCTTTTCTCATTACAAGTTTACTCAAATCCCTACACATAAATTTGTCCTTTGCAGGGTTCACATCACAGCTGCCAGGAAAACCCAGCTGGGATGGAAGGGAGGGGGAGGGGAGCAGTAGCAGCTAG